TGAGGTTTTTTTTTTTTTCCCCTAAGGAATAGGAAACAAGGCCGCGTCAGCAAGCGGCACTCAAACCGTGAAACTGGAGCGAGATAGACCTTGCTACCAAATCCGTAGCCCCCCAAAGGCCACTGGGTCCACGCGGAGACCTCTCTGCTGGAAACATGTGAAATGCTGCCCAACCGCTGCTCGTGGAAGTGCGCTAGATATTTCTCCTTCGATAGGCAACCTGAAGCCCCAGCGAAGCCTTGGCCCCGGGCTGTGCGGAGTTCAGTACCGTAACTTCTACCCGTTCTGCTGTCTCCAGTGTTGGTGCAGTTAGAGGCATACCCCGGGTCCATCCTGCCCTCCACTGACAGGCCGCACACCGAGGGGCTCTCACAAGCCCCGCTGCACTCTCGGGTCTCAGTGACGGAGCCTGTGCTGTCAGAAAAAAAATGTATTCTGTAGGCAGGATACACTCCGTCAGTCAGGATAGTTAGCGCTCAGGTTACGGCAGAGCTTTTGGCAGCCTCATCCTGAAACCCTTCTCATTCCGACCTTTCAGGTTTGAAACCAACAGTAGAAGCCTTCTTTACAATGATGTTTACCCTTACGATGGTGTCCTACACGGCCACTTCGATGGCACTAGCCATTGCAGCAGGACACAGCGTGGTCGCCGTAGCAAACCTGCTCATGACGATCACATTTGTTTTTATGACTGTGAGTAGCATTATTCGGTTTTCTAGACTGAATCCTGAAATCCTAGAAATGCCGAAATCTAGAAAGCCTACCAGCACAGATTTCAACTGAATTCTGCAAAAAGACTATGGGGTCGAGCATGTGGAATATCCTGATTTGTCTGATTTGGGTATTTTGATACTGTGGGGTTGAGTATTCTGCTTTGTCCTGTTAACGAACCAGAGCGGGGGGGGCTGGGTGTGAGAGGGAGGGAGCGTGGTGCCTCTGTCCTCCTCCGGCTACGTTTTGTTCACTCTCCTTTAGCTGTGCCAAAGGCAAATTTGGCTGGCTGAGGACATGACCCGCAGCCTCCTGCTCTCTGAGGCCGCTGCCGTGGTCGCCCTCCCCAGCTGCAGGGGCAACCGTTGGGCGTGTTAGAACCAGACAACACACCGACAGCCGCAGGTAGAAGACAGGCACCATAAACAATGAGGCAGCACTGAACCAACAGCCAAACCCCACGTTGCCTCAGACTTGGGGCACACAAGCAAAACCGAGTGTACACCTCCACACACCCGAGGAATGGCAGAGAGTTCCTGTGAACCCATGTGGGACCCACAGGCGGGAAGCATCCGGGTTTAATGCACGGGTGAAAGTATTCCCCGTTACTCATTTTGGGAGAAGGACCATGTGGGGTTATGGCCCAAAGCTGGGTAACAGATTCCCTCTCCCCTGTTCTTCCACTGGAAGAGTTTCTTCTTCTAGAAATGCCTCCCCACTTGTTTTTAATCTGAAGAAGCAGAGCCTAGAGCTAGAGAAGAACACATGGTAACAGCATATAATTTGTAATTTGAGGGGTTTTTTTATTATTGTTGCTGTTGGGGCTTTTTTGTAATCCTTGCCTCTAGATTTTTTCTGGGTTGCTGGTCAATCTCACAAGCATCATGTCCTGGCTCTCCTGGCTCAAATACTTTAGCATCCCTCGATACGGAATGACAGTAAGTGCTGTATTTTCCTGTGTACAGACTTGGAAAAGATTTGCTAGAAAGGAATGTCTTTACTCATGATAAAGAAAACTCCAAACTTTACGGGCTAATGAGCAAAAGGCAAGCTAATTAAATGCAGCAATCTCAGAATATAGTGCAGTATCCTGAAACAAGAAAGGCTTCTCATGAAGCAGCGTGCACTCTTGTTCAGAAGAGCTCATTTCTGTAACTTGGAAACGCCTCACGTAAGAGACATGAACAACCTCAACCACTGGAATGCAGTTGGGCAAAAATGATACAGAGTAAAGAACAATGTCATCGCTAAAAAACAATTCTTCTTTTTTCCATCAATCAAACAAAAATTGCCAGTCAAAAACTTTTATCCTAATTTCTGATAATTTAAGCCAGGGTGATGTTTTGCATGGAAATTTGGGCTTCAATATGCCTGTGCAGAAATAGTCTAGTCTGAGGTTAAAGCCTGGTGACGCACACGCATTGCAGTGTGTAGACGGCATACATTCCTCTTTTAAAAGAAAAAGAACCGTGCTGCTCAGTTAAAAAAATGGGGATTGGGCCAACATAATAAATAGCGATACCATCACATTTTTACACTAAACTTGAATTTAACTATATTTCATCTTGTTAATGTATCATTCCCTTACCTACTAATTTCTGTTGTCATTGTTTCTTTCGTTTTAAAAGGCTTTGCAAATCAGTGAATTGACTGGTCTGAACTTTTGCAGCAGCAGTAATGACACAAATTTAATCAGCAGTGATAACTATCGACAGATAAGACAGCCGTAAGTATTTTGGTACATTAAAATGAATCCCACCACTTACAAAGTCCTAGAGCATCAGTCTGTGAGATACTCACTGATGACCAGCAGAATCTTGGAGTTTTTATATGGAAAATGAAGATTTGACTGGGTATTTGCATTCTGTCTGCAGAGAACATTCTGCTTATTGTTGTATTTAGTATTTATAACACTAGAAATATCTGGCGTTATGCTTCTTACTTTTCTTTAAACTGCATTTACTGAAACACACACTACAGTTATGCAGCCTCACAAAATCCATTTCAGCTTCCTACAGGAAACTGATGGTAGCTACAAGAAAACCAAATTTACAAATAGAAATTAAAATAGTCACATACAGCTGGCATTTGCTTGGCCTACTGTAGACATGAAATCACACTAAAACTTCAAGGGATCTTCCCAGATACTTCCAATTGACTAAGTTTATAAATGTGTGTGTATTTATCTGTAGGTGGTGTACCGGAGATGAATATCTGAAAAATCAAGGCATTGATGCAAGTAGCTGGGGCCTGTGGCAGAACCACCTGGCTCTTACCTGCATGACAGTAATATTCCTTATCATTGCATACCTGAAACTGCACTTGATGAAGAAGTTTTCTTAAAACCAGAATGAAAAACGTAATTCCCACTCTTCAGTAGTTTGATAAACTGACTGTGCAACTTACTTGATTCTTTTTTAAGAGACCTTCCTTTGTACTTCTATGATTACACAAGTCAACAATGTGAATGCCAACCCTGTATATTAAATATTTAGTATTAATGTACTTTGCTGAAATGTTTAGCATGCCTCAGTCCTCTTTGTCATAAAAATGATACAACTATTCATTTCTTTAAGAGACTATTCAGTCTTGCTGTGTTTCTAGCTATGAATTTGTTAAACAATTAAACTAATATTTAATGGCTTAACCTGAAAAAAAAAATGTTTTCATACTTTAATTAGTACCTACATTCACTAGCAAGTAATTCAGTCCAAAGTGATGCTTATCAGGACATCAGTGCAGTCCTGACTGCTCATCTGGTCACGGCCTACCTGAGACAGCGACAAAAACACCTTCTCCATCCCTGTGCACGTCTCATGCCTGTTTCTACTTGGGAATCATTACTGCCCTAGAGTGTACTTGATTGATGCCATGAAGTTTTTCTTACCAAACTTGAGGAGTAGAAACACTGTTTTTAAAATAAAGGTGACCGTGTACTTTCTTACTCTGCCAGTTTGCACTGAAATTTGCATTTTCTGTGTGTAACTGCAAGTCATCTTCACTGTCCTGTTATTGCTGCTGCTGCGAGCCCTTGGCCTTTTTTATAGTGACCAATTTCAAGCGTACAGCTCATCAGGATGGTACCACCTCTGTAGGAGTGGGAAGGTTGCAGTAAGCCTTTCCTGGCAGGCCAGCTTTTCTCCCGGCCACACGCAGCAAGGGTCATTTGTCTCCTTCCCCTTGCTCCAGATGCAGCAGCACTTCCAACAAGGATCTCTGCCCTTATCACTCCCCACTATTATTTCACCCAATAATGTTTGCTCTATTTTAAAGACCTGTTGCTTAATTTTCACTGTGGTCTACGGACTCCTCACCTGGCATCGCTCCTCAAGTTAATTTGGGAGGCGCATGTGCAGTGCAGTAACGCCGTAGGGGAGCAGTTGCCTGGCTGTAGTACTTCACCAGTGTACCTGCCATCCAACACAAAAAATCCACACGCACGGTTTATCCTCTGCCTTGTAGCTGACCCGGTTTTCTCCTTGCCTGCATTGCTTCTGCAATGCTTGCCCTAGTTTGTATGGGTCGTACACTGTCGCATTTAGAAATTTCTTAGCGCCGCCTAGTTAGTTTTTATATCAACTGATTTTAACTTGGCCAACTCTTGTGCTAATACAAAGCATAAAGATAACCATAATGCAACTTACTGTTACACTTTTCTATGTCCAAATTTATTAGCATTGTATTTAAATTACAGTGTATAAAAATAAGTTCCCCTGGAGCGAAGTGTGGCGTCCTTCTGACTTCTGTCAGCTTTCCTGCACATTTTCTCCCTGTGCAAACACCAATGAGCTCAGCTCCTTGTAGCAGACAGCAAGTGCTGTCGGTACACTAGGACAAGCTGCTGTCACACACCTAGAATAGCTGAGTGCCTTCTGCCTTTTTCTCCCTGTACTTAAGCACTCTTAGTCTTTTTTTCTCAACCAGAGTTTCAAGAAACTTTCTCAACCTTATTTCTCTAAGAAACTCACACCGTGAGGATGGTTGCAGTTTTACATGCGTTTCAAAAATGATTCAAGGCAGAGTGACAGAACTGGAGAAGCAGTACGAGTGCGCCCTCTCCTTTTCTGTCAGAAATACTTGGTTTGGAAGCAGCGGTGCAGATCCGGGGCAGTGGACATGAGGCAGAGGAGGGAGGGCGAAGGAGAACAGGAAAAAGCCCTACCTTGTTCTCCAGCCTCCCTTTGCAAGCCTTGCAACGAGTACCATGGAATAAAGCTTTCTACAATGGAAATCTGTAGCTGTGCTCTGAAATACTTCCCTGTGAGTTCTGAAACAAGCGACACAGGTCCTACGGAATAACATTTTAATCAAACACTGTTAATTCACAGTTGAACGGCGTGAGAGGAAACAGCTGTACAACAGCATCCCAAATACAACTGCAAATTGAGCTCTACCACCTCGGCAAGGGCACGCTCGTGTAGGGAGGTCCTTGCTCGGGGGGGAGGATGCTAACCCACAGGCTCTTGCTGCAGGCAGCAGCGACCGCCCTCCGCTGCGACACGAAGCGGCTCCACCGCAGCGGCCGGAACCCAGCGCCGACGGCTTTCCCACCAGTCTGTCTCCTGCAATCAGACACGGGTTTTCTGCGGCAGCCGCCCGTTACTTTCCACAGCATCTGCTCCAGAATTGCGGAGTGGCATTTGACGTTGCCAAAAAATAGTTGGTATCTTAACAGGTACCGCGTAGGTGCTTTCGAAAACACTACGTTTCACACCCTTTTTTCATTCAGCTTTGTCACAACTTCACATAAGCATCCAGCAAATGAACTGAAAAGTAAGAGATGAAATAATGCAATACAGATAAAATTACAGATTCTCAGACATAATAGCACACACTAAGTCAAATTTTCAATTTCCAGTTTAGCTGGAAGGAGATCTTGTACAGAAAGCTGTTGACATAGACCTGAATTTTAAGGAAAAACACAGGTGGCTATGAACACATGTACAAATAGGGTAACACATGCAAAAAGAGATCCTCAACATCCTGAAAAACTGAAGAACTTGCTTGATCATCAATATTTCTGTATGTAGTTTTTCAGTGTGCTCAGTTTTCAGAAAATAGGTTGACTCTTAAGTTTTAAAATCAGTCTACCCAACTCTTGCATCACAAAATAGCTCGCTGTTAATTTATACTTTGGCCAAATAATTTAAGTTTCTGAAAATAAAAATTTCTTCTTAGAATACCAGGAAGCACTCACCTTAAAACTACACTGACAGACAGATTCTCTACCTTTACTCTGGAACGGCTGAACTGTAAGCCTGACCGCGTGTATTTCTATGCACGTAGCTAACAGCTAGAACCAAATATGAACGAAATCATAGTTTTGTAGTACTTGGGCCTTTTATTAGTTCTTGACAGATTTTCATTTTACGATATATGAAAACGGACAGACATTCAAATTAACACAATGAATATACAAATGGAGTAATTTTGGGTTTGTTTTGCAGCGGGATGATGAAACCCAGTCTGAACACGATCTTGGGATGCACTGGCATGGCAAATATTCCTAAGTGTTCAAGCACAAGATTTGTTCCACATCAGCTGTATTTACCAGCTACAGACAAGTAGCATACGACTATACAATTTTGCTATGGGTGAATAGATGTAATAACCCTAAGCATTCTACATTACTCCTGTTCGAGCCCAGAATTTGGGACATGTACATTCCATCTTCGTGGTACTTCTCTGCTCAGCTTAGGCGCGATGAGTATCACCTCTATTCATATCTGAACCTGGTAATAACTGAACTATCATCTCTCTGATGAAATGAACCGACGTGCTGAAACTATTTAGGAACTTCTGATCCAATTCTGCCCTGAAGACTCTGACCCTTTGCTATCTGTGGCAGTGCCAGGACTTTTTTGGTTTATCAGTAGTACCCGTGTTACTGTTCTTTTAAGATTTTTCATAGCATCAGTCTTACAGCATTCTGTGCCCTTTTATGAAATCTGACCTTAGTAATTTTTGATGCCCACTAATGTTTCAGTTTTTTTGCAGGTTACAAATGTGAGCCACACAACAATCCTGTTTTGTTTTTTTTTTTTTTTTTTTTCTGAGTATTACGACCAAAGGCTCCGCTGCTGTGGCATTGAAAAATGCATGTGACAGTCCTTCCGGTATGACAAGATGGTTCCTTTATGACAAAAGAATATTTCACAGCTTGAGGATAAGCAACAATAAGACATTATTTTCAAGATGGTAATCTATTTCCAATAGAATTATAATAATCAATATTTTGTTAAAAGTCCAAGGCTAGATTAGTTTTAATGCAAATTTAGAGGTTACTTCTAAAAATCTGTATGAGATTTATAGAGACAGCTGTAAACAAACTGTCACAGCAGGCAAGTATTAAACATAAAGAGATGAGACGTCTTACAGAATTCTTTTCGAAGATTTCTCCTCTCCTTTATGCTTCCAAGTGTTTAAAAGCCCCCCAGCATGTCAGCTTCTGTCATCTTTCTCATGAGAAGAGAGAAAATTGCACTTGAGATTTGAAATTTTTGACATTTTCTACTGTGTAGTCTCTTCAAAACCCCAACATTTTTATCAAAAAATTTGAAAGAACCTTCACTTTGCCATCCCAATATTCCACTGAAACACTGCACAATATTTCTGTATGTTAGAACATAATGACTATTGAAGAATTGGGCCAGTCAGTACTGAAAGAATTAAACTGAAGCAGATATTCAAGCTTATATTCCACAGTTTGCATCCAGAATTACTCGTGGATACCATTAAGGCTTGCTTGACTCAGTCTGTAACATAATACTGTATTTTAACTTCCTAAAGAACTCAGTGGAAATTCTTCACATCTTGAACATAAGAAGTCCTTTGTTAAGTTTTTGAAAGCTGAATCACAGTGTTCATCCTATCAACTATGTCCAACACCATTAGAGATGATACCCAAGAGAAATACGTGCCGTGGTAAATAAAAACACTTGATTTCTTACCTGTGCACTTCCTTGATAGGTGCAATAATCACAAACTGCAGAGGCATACAGAGGAGGTAACATGGCTTCGTGATGTTCTTATTCCTGCCTCGTTTAAGCCTCTGTCCCACAGAATTACCCCAGTATGAATTTATCCTTTGAATCCTTCCTTTGTGCAGAATGCTACAGAGATGTGCATTAAGAAAGATATCAGAGCTTTCAGTACAACCTTCCATCGTGACTGTTTTTTTGAGAATGAAATTAGTTAGAATTTGTGGTTCAATGCTGAAACATGTACCTCCAAGAATGAACCATCGTTCTTGGTGGTAAAATTCTGATTGTAAAATATAAATCTGTTTAACTCGGATGCGTTTTGTATTTACAGATTTGATTGATCTTTGATTTGACTTCAGATTTTATCTTACCAGAACATTCAGATTTGGGATGATACTTATGAGTAAATGAAAGGATCTAAGCTTTTGGACAGCTCACAGTATGTTCTAAACTTAACAGTTTGATACACACGAATTCAGGATTCTTGCTGACCTAATCATTAGTTATTATATTGCTTTGATGGTAAGATGCAGTGCTGCTGGGGAAAATGCAAGCTTGAGTATGAAAAATGGCAGAAAGTGTTCCATACATTTAGTTTACCTACACATTCTTCCTTTTTAAGCAGGAGATGACAGTGAGGAGATGTGGTTGTTGGAAAGAAATCAGCAGAAAAAGTACTCCAGGTCCTCATACTACAAAGAAATGAAAGTGGAATTAGAGACGCTGTCTCTGGAGAAAAAAAAATAAAAATTTATCAGCCCAGATTTAAAACTGTTGAACTCTACAGCCCAGGTAATTGTAGCTGGTCCTTAACACTTCAACATTTAAAGAGTTATAAATGTGATCACACAGTGTTCCAATCTGAAAATAAAATAAATTTCAGTATACAACAGTGACTTCTGAGAAAGGAAATAATCAAATTAAGTTAAACTCACATTTTGAACAGGCTTTGACATAGTATTGCACAGAGCATTTAACAAGAAACTCCTAAACTTCTCTTGCTTTATAGTACTCATTTTAGTAGCTGACCATCTATATGACTGTATTTGCACAAGACAAATGATTCTTCCTGCACTGTCCAATACTTAACTCTGTATTTCACTCTGCAGAAGAGTTAACATACTGCCTGTATGATTTTATTTCCATTGAAGTGACCCCTGTGACCAGAGCAAATCCCAGAGCTGTTGCCCAAGAAGAATTCCTAATCATCTCCATGAAAGGACAGACTCTGCTACTCCTAAACACATCACATTTTAGCTTATTTGCTCCCAGTGATTTTAATGAGAATGCCTGCTCACTAATAAACTGACAGCAGCACAATCCAGCTGTCAAACTGTTAGCCGAGCTCTGCAACTCTGTAATGAGATTTATAAAATTCTATACCTTAGTTGCAAGAGCAGAAATTCTAGTAGTCGTCATGTCAGACTTCACTGTCACACTATAGGCTCTGAATTAAGATTGTATTTTTCTCTTTTTATCCAGCATTCTACTTTCCATATATGTGTGGATCAGAAGAAGACATGACTAATACACTGCTTGAAGTTGCTCACTCATGGCCGAGTATTTTCTTGTACTTTGGAAAAATTCAAATTGGCAGTAGGCACTAATGCCAACCTGCCCTCGTTCAAGATTTAAGTTAGAACAGGAGGCCCACTATGGCAGAGATGAGAATTTTCCTTTCTTTCTGCATTCCAACAGAGAGGCACACTAGTCACGCCGAGGGAAAGGCAGAGCTGAAATAATAAATAAAACCTTGGTTCTCCCCTTTTGTTTGAGCAATGACTGACTAGTACAATTAGATCACTTGCACAAACCGGGAGATACATCATCCGTATAGGTACCATAACATGAGCAAGGAAAGTGGGGTGGGGGCAGGAGGTGAGAGGGGGAAAATACAGTTACTAGTAGGAGAAGGGAAATGGGTCCAGAATCCCTGAGGTTAAAAGGCTTTGAGTACGTGTGGGTGTGTGTCTGTATGTTGATACTATGGAGATCCTTAATAATTGCTTTGTAAAAGCTTGACCTTGTGACAAGAATTAGGCTCTCAAGGATCTCGTAATACCCCAAGGTTAATGGTCCTGACTGGTTTCTCACAATCTTTTCTATCTCCCCACCCTCATTAGGGATGGATTTTGCAAGCATTCTTTGAGAGGTGCACGGCTCATTAAGCCTTTTTTCATTAATCTGCTCCAAATTGGTCTTGATATGATCCCTGCCTTCCACTGCAATTGGCTCGGGAGCTGAATTATCCCTGACACTTGCTCCTTTTGGCAGGATCTTAGCGATAGGGTACCAAGGATCAAGTGGTTTAGAGTGTTAAGACTCACGCATTGCTCAGGCTTAAAAATGACAGAACTGCCTGATACCATTGTTTTGCTGAGATTTTTGTCATTTGAACTTACACAGTTGTGACGTACAGAATGTAATCATTCTGATTATATCACTAACTCGACTGAAAATGTGGTTTTGTGTATGAAAATTCCTGTTTCAGTTTGCTTACATTTAACAGTAAGTGATTTAATCTAGACTCTAGGCAACTTTAAAATATATACTTATGTTTAGATTTAATATGAAATTATTAAACCTGGTCAAAGATTTTTCGTTTAAATCCTCTGTCTGAACTACTGTAGAAAGTAAGAACCTCCAGCTTGTGATTTATTTTTAATTATTTTAAAGAGGAACAGTATTTCATTTGAATTGATTCGTTTGAAGGAAGCTTTATGATGACAATAATCTTACAAGCTTCCACTTCTAAATTTCAACTGCTTTCAACACAGAAAGTAAGGTTTTTATGTTTTCAGTGCTGGTAACTGGAAGTAATTGCTTGTTCCTTATAATGAATGCTCCATTTGCTGTAATCAGTAGCATAGCATTGTTAAACAGCATGAGTTTTATGTTTTTACTAATGCTTGTTCCTCCTCAGCAAACCAGAGATCTAGTGGAAAGTGGTTTTCCCCCAAATACCTGCATATGTCATGTGAGGGACTAATTTCTGACTTGCTCAGTATGAGCATTCTTTTTGTTCATTGCTTAAATTACAAATTTTCCATCTGTTTGATCAGCTGTTACAATCTCCCGGCCATAAATTCTGCTACTAGGAAGCGCCTAATGTTATTGCTACGTAACAGGCAAGGACAGATATTAAACTGGCTGGACACAGCTAATACTTCCTAGCATGCTGCCCCAATGCTGCTCGGCAAGAGACTTCCTCCTCTTTGACTTATTTTACAACAAGTAATTGACTGAAGTCCAGTTTTCAATGTAATAAATAATTATAGGAAAGACAACCAATTTCAATTAGGATTTTTTTTTAATTGAAAACTGCACCTTTTCAAGTGAATTTGAAGTACTATTTGACAAATGTATGCATATATCAATAAAGATGGTTCAATATACTAAGACTTCTACCAGAGTTCTTGCTTCTATCACAGGCCTCGTTGTGCTTAAAAAAATAGGTGCAATTACAGCACCTACTAACTATATTACAAGTGACAGATTTGACACATAGTCCTCAACAGAATTATCATTTGATTCTGTAGGGATCTAGTCTTGCTACTTGCTCATCAGAAGGTGTAAATGGCCTTAATAATCCTTAAAATCATTTACAGAATAAATTTGCTGTCAATTTACATTTACAGTATCCCAAAAATGAAACTGTTAGTCAGTGTCAGCATATAGCATCCAATTCAGTTGTTCATGATTTAAGAAGAATATTTAAAACTTATACGGGTTCTGACTGCCTTACTTTGGGGAAGCCTGAAAAAGCTCTATGTTTGCTTATTAAAAAGAGGAAACAAGTAAAAGGTCACCTATGTGCTGACAGCAGCCTAAGGAGAAAACCTACATTAATTGAGAGCTTTTAATATGCAGAAGACCACTGACAAGACTGAAATCATTGGTATCCAATTTGGAAATAAATGCAGTTTAAAAAAAAAACTAAAGCAAAACAACCTAACAACAAAAATGAAAACTAACTACACTAGCTATACAAGTAACTAAAGAGCTGGTGGATTTCCCACTGCCCTGAAGGTTACACACCAAGTTAGGGTATGTTTCTGAAACAACTGTATTTTATTTATAATGCATTAGCAAGCTTTGTTAAGGATTTACCCTGTTGTAGCCTATGGTTAAGGCTGTGTAGAAGTTCAGACTGAGTTTTCTCAATTTTAGTTCTTAAAATTTAAGAAATACACAAAACCACATTACCACCAATACAGAAAACAAAGTGCCTATCAAGGCTTACTGTGCACTTTTTTTTGTTTTGTTACAAAGACAGGAGGCTTATCAATTTGAAAGCACTTTGTCCTAATTACAAATAATGAAAGAGACAAATAGCCTTCACTGACTATGCAAATCATCTGTGTCTGTAAGACTCATCGAAAAGTGACTTACCTTAAGGTTACACTGTTATGCTACTAATTAATCTCCATGGTTGAAAAAATTCAGAATGTCATAAATCCCTTTTTCTTGTTTGTGAGTTTATATTTGTCTCACGTTGCGGTTATTATAGCTTTCAACAAGGTATTTCCTTTAACAAAAACCACATTTCTTACTTTTTTACCTACTTCTCTGTGGCTAAAAAATCTTTAAGAGTCAATAATATCCATTTTTGGAGCAATTTTTCTGAAATAAAGAATTATTCCAGTGGAATTTGAGACAGGTTAGTAAGTCTGGTGGTAGAACAATTTGAATGGCTTTCGATGAAGCAAGCAGAAGGCTAGGCACTATAGAAAGCAAATTTCATTTTCACATTTGCTGCCCTGTTTTCAAAAGTAATGTTAGCAAGTGAGTTATTGAATTGATTCTGTAAAGTATTTACATGCAGTTGGACAACTACATGATATACACTACGGACTTTTCAAATGACACGTCTAAAAGGCCCACGATTACACTGACTCGGGAGTTGGGCCCGTTATTTTTCACAGTGCACACAGGCTTTACAAACTGTATTGGTTCAAGCAAAGATTTAACAAGTGCCTGAGTGACTCGGTAATTCTTGCTACAGACTCCCATGTTTTGCTGATGAGGTCACTACTCCTGGCTGGCTGCTTTGGGCTGCGTAAGAAGTGTCATCATCCTTCTTGACTTCTGTGCTGGTAGATACAATAAAAACCTTGTAGGCCACATATTCACTACCTGTGAGGAAAGACATTTGTTTAATTGGGGCTTTCCAGGAGACACTGAGGAAACTGTACTTATAGAGTAGCATCCTACTGAGGCAGAGGATGACAACCCATTGCACAAGGACTTGGGAGTATGAGGAAGCATGTGAGCCACTGAAGCCAAACCTGAACACAAGGTACAGAACTAGTCAGCTGGATCCAGTTTGGCTTCAGGGTAGAGTCACATTTTTACCACAAGTCAAAGAGATCTTTTTGTAATTACCAGTACAGTTACCTCTTGTATTTTATTCTACTGTAAACACGTCCTACTGCAATATCTTCTGCCTTAGTAACTAAAAAAACCTTTGCACAACTAATTTGTGGCTTTTAACTGTTCTTTCTTTAGAATCAGTGCTTTATTCTTTCTTACTACCAGTGAGTGTATGCTTATCCAAAAAATAAATCAATAAAGAAATTTGCAATTCAAGAGGTTGTTCCAGTACAGAGGCAGGATTAAAAAAAACGTATATTCTAAAAGCCACAAAGAATTTATGTCAGGTAGACAACTGACATTGACAGCTAATAAAGATAATACATCCATTAAAGTAAAAAGAAATAAAAGAATTAAGATAGCAACACCATGAAAACAATTAAATAACATATATCTAACTTTCTTCATCACAAGAGATTAAATAGTTATAGATTAAGAGCTCAGAACAACACAGTTTCTTTACATGTGGGAACAGATGGATAAATTCAAAGGCAGCAAGTAGTATCCACTAGATACGGTCAGGCAAGTATTTTGAAGTACAGAATGTATGAACTACTATCAAAAGCCAGAAGACAAGAGGCTGAGTCACATCATGGAGATGCACAGATATCTAAGCCAGCAGTTACACAGTTTCTGGAAATGACAGATCAGTGAAACTTGTTTTCAACTCAATTAATACAATATGCTCTAGAGTCTAAAACATTAATAAGTCCAAGTCACCCTTGAAAAGGAAAAGCATCTCCATCCAGTTCTTCAGAATTCCTTAACCATGGGTCCCCTCTAATGCAGACTTTTCTGTGATTCTCTGATTCTGTATCAATAAATTATTGGCTTGAAAATGTGGTTGAAATTACTTATTTTCAGGGCATTCCACAGAAGGCTACAAGGGAAATTTGATATTGTAAAAAGGCAATGTAGTACCTCAACAGATGGCTAAAAGAAGAAGGCCTGAAAATAAACACACAGTTTCAAAAGTTCAAGACCAACAACGACAGAATTTGCGGCATGGAAAGGCTATGAGACATACTAAGACTGAAGAGCCTTGAGATTATTTAGTCCCAATGTATTTATTGATAGGTATTGTGAATAGAAATTAATTTTTATGCTTACCTGGTAGGATCAGTCTCAGCAGTTCTTTTAACAAGTTTTTATTATAGTTACTGTAATTTAAAAAATGTTTTAGTATTCGAATTACGGTTTCTTCGAGAATCACTGTCCTTATGTATATAGTATATTTACTCTGTCACTGAAATATGATCTTAACATATGATTATTTTTGTGTTCTAGACATAAGCATATATGTGGATATTACAGAGTGGCTGCTTATTTCTCCTCTAAGATACTGGCTGATTTAATACCCAGCAGGACTTTGCCAACCATCATTTTAACATGGATAAATTGTTTCACAATAGACGAGTATTCTGCAAAAGTAAAATGCTTCAATATAATCCTTACCTATCCAGAAGACACTCTGGGGCAACTACATGCTATTCTAACTACTGTTCCTTACACAGAAGCAGACCTCCTCCCATTTTATTTTCTCTCTCCACAAGCTTCAATTAGAAAGATTTTTTTGAGTGTAAACAACAAGAAAAACATGCAACACTGCCAGCCAAACCAGAAAGCTCTGGCCTGATGAAAGGCCAACTAATGTTTTTATTTTTAAGGTTTCAAACCAGAGTTGCAGCTTGCTTCACCACAGTGATCGCCCTCATCCTAGCACCTATACATCCAGTTCGATGGGTCTAGCAAAAGCAACTGGACAAAATGTGGTGAGTGTTGCAATCTCCTGATAATCATTTACTTTGTTTTTATAACTGGCAGTGCTAAAAGATTCTTCAGTTTCTTCGCCTGTATCTTTGGTATGACACACAATCAGATTACTTGACAAAATAATTTCTAACATACACTTTAAAACAACTCAGTGCACCCCACCGGAAATTTGCAGTATGTTTACAATATTATTTGGAACAATGCCAGATAATGCTGTCACATTTACTACACTGAAAACCTGATGCCTATAATACTTGAAAAAGAGCAAGTCAAAAGGACAGTTGCTTTGTGCAG